AACTGGACACAGTAGTCTCTGCCTCCGGGCATGTAAGGAGAGAGGCACATTATGCAGGACAGTAGAGGTTAGCAAACAGTGTTTGGCCTGGAGAGCGGCCTGGGTCAAATGTCCAGCTGAAAACAGGTCTGAGATTTGCTTAGCAATGGCCTCCTGACTCCATTTCAAGTGCCCAGAATCAATGCTACTCCATTTTTATTATGATTGTTGTTAATGTTTCCTCCATTCCATTGTCCATGGGACTAAGTCCAGTTTCACAGGGATCCAGAAAACAGTATCTTTGTCAGTAGGCAACTGGCCATATTCTCTGTCCCTGACACACAACTGGCCGTATTCACTGCCCCTGACACAAGCAGGCCAGTGAGCTGCAGCGGCAGGAGGAAAGGAAAGACTCCCTCAGGGGCTGTGTGCAGGAAGCTCGCCTGGCACCCCCCTCCCTGACTCCGGATCTAGCCGTGCACCATGTACCACAGTTTCCATCTTCTCAAAAATGGGGAGGCTAAGAAGACGAGCTGAGGCAAAAGCGTTCAAAGCCGCAGCCTGTGTCTCACATGGAACCAGAATTCAGTTAAGGAAGACGTTCACTTTTAGATCTGAGCGTCCCAGGGGGCGATGGCCAGACCAGGTGGGGCTTCTCTGCATGCCACTAGGTCCAGACCCTTGGGCATTCTTCCTCACACTTGCAGTTCTTTGGGAAGCCACTCTCTGAGTCCCCAACTCCTAAGATGCTCGTCTTGTTTTGCCTGGGGTAGGACCAGAAACCTGCTTTTTCACGCCAGGAAATTTGGGGCCCGTAGCTGAAGAGCTGCACACAGAAGAAATACCCCTGTCTTAGATCATTTCTAAGTACAACCACCAGCCCTGTGCTCATAAAGACACCATTTTTCAGCCTGCTTCTCTTGGTTTTCCAGGGACTAGAAGAGGGGATGAGATCTTTAGGAGAGAGCATCACAGTGGGCTTTGTTTGGTCTCGAAATTTAATGTGGAGCATCCCCAAGCCCAATGGCGATCTCCTCTTGCAACTTCTGTTAGAAAGCCAGAGGCCATTTGGGCAGCATCTGTATTCGTCTCAATTACCAAAATGTGCAGATGGATAGGAGTCACTATTAATAGTGCCACTGGGTGTGGCCAAAACCACACGTGTAAAATGCCTCCTCCGGGAGATGGTTAATCCCCTGAGAGCCCAGGTCATCTCAGGCCTCCTCATACATGACTGCTGGGCTCCAAGAAGTGAGGCAGGGACTAGACAGAGGTGGCCTAAATACAGCCCTGCCTGCTGGCCCTCACTCTCTTTCAGCCAGCCCGGAACAGCCCTCAGTATTTGAGTAGCACTGACTGGATCGTGCATGATTATAGAGGAGGTATACAATCATCCTAAGTGGTTTCTGAAGACATAGGGAGACACTAAAGAAAAACAAAGTCACCTGTAATCCTGCATCCGGAAATAACCATTATTAACATTTTAGAGTAACACACTGCTGCTTTTTCCTATGCATACATTTGCATAAAATCGCATACATCAAACTCAGCTCTCACCACATCCCCAGCTCTGTATCCTGCTCGCTCCACACATACCATTTTCCTGCATCACCAAGTCTTCTCTGACAACGTCATCTGTAGTGGCTCATCGTAGCACATTCATGCACAGCGGTTGGAATGTTTCAGGCTACTTCCATTTCTTGTTTTGGATTTATTTTTTAGTTTTGCTATTATCAATCTCATAACATGGTAGTAATGGTTTTCTCAGAATCAATTTCGGAAACACTAAATTCTGAGGTCCTAAAAGCACACATTTCAAAGCTTCAGTCACAAATCACCAAACTATAGATACCAATTAACCCTGGGGTAAGGCTTGGGAAGATGGGGCCCTGGGTCAGGCTGCAGGCTGTGAAGAGGGTGGAAGCCCCACCAACCCCATTTCTTCCATTTCAGACCCCAGCCCTGAGAAACCGAAGCAAGGGTCAGCTCCACCCCCCAGTGCTCAAGACCATGCCTACAGGGTAGTTAACACCTGATTGCTAGACCCGCCCCATGGTTTCTCCTCCCCACGCCCCAGACAACCCAGGAGTTGCTTTGCTCAGATTAAATCTGGTTTTATTAATTCATCCTGATCTGATTTATTGTGGAGGAACTCAATAATCAGGAACCCAATGCTTATAAGGAGGGTGGTGCTGGACTGGTGTCTACCCCAGTTTCATCTCTAACACCTGAGAATGTTAGGAGAAACTTGCTTCCCATCCCCAAATCCCCCAAGGTCCTCCAAGGAGTTCCTTTATAACCTACAGATATTTCACATATTTCTCTTCTGTGGTGCTATTCAGCCCATTTTAGGAATCCTATGCAAATCTTTATCTGGCCTAAAGCAATTATTTCTGAAAAACCAGACTTTTGACAGAAGTACATTTAACTTTTTAAAAATAGCATTTTTTTAGTGCATGCTATTATCATTGTTACTTATTCAAATGTGTTGATGGTGGAGTAGGTGGAAGGGTGATGTTTGCATTGGCATGGCAACCAGTGACTAAATGAATCCTTCACAGCCCATGATGGCTTCTGTGACTTAGGTGGGGCCAGAAATGGATTTTCCTCCCTCCATGTGTCATGAGCTTATGGGAGAGAAAAGATTACCCACTCATGTTCAAGCCCAACTCATGATCAAGCCCTTTCTTATGCTATTTATAGTTTTGGTTTGTGCCACTTCTTAGGCTGGGAGGTTTAGTGAATTTACTTCCCATTATGTAAACGTAAGACTTCTGACCTACAGATAGCCTTTGGGGCTGTAAAATAGGACTCCTAATTATTGTGATAGCTAATAAATTTGGACTGTTCCAATGGTACCAGACTCTCCTCAAGGCACTGGGGTATTTTTCTTTTAATTCTCTTTTTGTTTGTTTGTTTTTTGAGACAGGGTTTCTCTGTTTATCAGTCCTAACTGACTTGGAACTCTCTCTGCAGACCAGTCTGACCTCTAACCCACAGAGATCCACCTGCTTCTGCATCCCAAGTACTGGAATTAAAGGAAGGCATACACTACCACTGAGCAGCTTTCTTTTAATTCTTTTTTTGGTTTTTCGAGACAGGGTTTCTCTGTGTAGCTTTGGAGGCTGTCCTGAAACTAACTCTTGTAAACTAGGCTGGTCTCAAACTCGAACTCACAGAGACCTGCCTGCCTCTGCCTCCGGAGTGCTGGGATTAAAGGCGTGCACCACCATCACCTGACCAATTCTTAACAAGCTGTGTAATGTGGGTTTTGTTCTTGCCATCCTGCTTTTGTTTTAGTTTCTTTCTTTGGGGTGGGGGTGCTGAGGTTTAAACCCAGGGTCTTGTGTATGCCCAGCAAGCGTTTACCGCTGAGCTACACCCCCACCCTCTTGTAAACCTTTTACGTTGTCTCCATTTGCTTGTTGGCTTGCTTTCGCTTGGGGCTGCTGTGGGGAGGGTCGAGACAGATCGGCCTTGGACTCATCATCCTCTTACTTCTGTCACACCTGGGTTCTCCGTCACACAGACAAGGAAATGGAAGTGGCACTTGCATGACTTACAAGGATGCAGGGTTCACACGAGGAAGATGACACGGAGCTCTGGAAGCTAAGGGTCTGACCACGCTGACCAAGGATGGGTCACGGCCAAGCACAGGCTTTCTCTTACATTTAGGGCAGATCTTCCAGCTCAGCTACCCTGGTCAAGCTAACCCCTCACAAGCAGAACCAGAGGTTTGTCTCTTAGGTGATTCTGGAGCCTGCCAGGTTGGCAAGATTAGCCACCACAGCTTCCATTCTTTCTTCTGGAAACAGAGTCTGTATTTTACTTGGGAAAAGCATCCTCCCCTCTTTCAGGCCCCAAGCACAGGTGGGGCCAACTCCATTCTAGCTCAGGCCTTTCCTGTGGTCACAGTCACCAGCCAAGAGACGAACACATGAACCAAGCTGATCCCATAGTTACCATATCATGCTCTTTTCACTGGTTCTGCCAAGCTGATAAACTATAACTTTGGATCTGCAATACGCAACTGGGTAAAGCAAGCCTTCCTGGACATTAACACGAGCAACTGGGTAAAGCAAGCCTTCCTGGACATTAACACGAGCAACTGGGTAAAGCAAGCCTTCCTGGACATTAGCACGAACAGATAAAGAAGTCAAGTCCAGATGACACTGTATGGTCATCTAGATCCAGCCATGCCTGAAACTTAGCTACCTTTAGGTTTTCCAACCAAATGAGCTAAACAATTCCAACATTTTCTTTTTACTCTTAAGTTATTTCAAAAATGGATTTCTTGAGCCTTGTTTCTAAGAGTCAGATCCTAATTACCCAAGCAGGGAATTCCCCATTCTAGTCAGGGTAATGAAAAGAGGGTGTTCCTTCTCTTCCCAGTGTGTAAATGAAAACAAATATACGCCAACCAACCCACACACATGCACATGTGAGAGTTGTGTATATGTATTTTCTGTAAGGACTCAGGCATTATGCTGGTCTGCCCCTGTCACCTGGCAGTACTCTGGTCAGCCCAGGGTTCCATGATTACAGTCTGCATGAAGGTGCAAAGGACCCCTTTAAAAGACAGACCCCGCCCACTTACACCTTCTTTCCCACTGTTCCCCCTGGGTCAAACAGGACTTTTCCTGTCTCCCTCTTCTCTTCTGTCCTCTCTCTGCGTCTCTTTCCCTCTTTTCTTTTTCCTTCCCCCTTCCCTCCCGTTTCTAATATAACTTTTCACTTAGGCTCTGACTGCCTGGCATATTTGTCCCTCCACTTTGGTCAACCTCACCTGCCATGGAATCTGCAAGGTCCCCCACAGGCTTTATCGTAACATTTCCTCTCCTCTAACCTGAACCTTGTTTCTAAACCTTCTACTCTCAAAAAAGGCTCAGGCAACCAGCACCGAAAATGAGAAGACTTCTCTCCCTCTTGCCCTTTCTCGTGTCCCCACCCCCATGTTTGCAAAAGTGACAGATCTTAAGAAAAATTAAAAGGGTACAGAGGGACTCCTCATAGCTGAATACTTATGATTGTTAAGACTAATTTTACTTAGCAAAATTTGAAACCACAAACAACGGAGGCTATAGGGAAAGTTATAAAACAAACAGCATTCTGCAGGGTTCCTCCCAGGGGCTTCCAAGGCCAAGTCAGCGCAGCTCACACAGGTAAGTGCTGACACAGGGGTGCAGTTTCCTCCTAGAGAGAGGAGGGGGAGATCAATAAAATATGCAAATAAGGCCTCAAACTTCAGAGCATGGAAATGTGGGTATTTAATTTCCCTTGATACAGACAAATGCAGCCACGAGAAGCTTCCCCAGGACTTTTTGTCATCTGCCATTTACAGAGAGAGGGAATTTAAGCAGCAGTGAGCAGAGAGAATTATCCAGAAGCCAGCAAGGTCCTTGCCCAGTCAATCCCAACAGGCCCAGGTCCTCCCAGAGGCCACCAAAGTAGCCAGGCGTTGGTGGCCCACAGCTTTAATCCCAGCACTTGGGAGGCAGAGGCAGTCAAATCTCTGTGAGTTCCGGGCCAGCCTGGTCTACAGAGCTATTTCCAGGACAGCCTCCAAAACAATACAGAGAAACCCTGTCTCGAAAAACTAAAAAAAAAAAAAAAAATCACCAAAGTAAGGATGAAGCTGCCACGTTGTACCTTGTTCTTCGTGGCTGCCACTGTGCTTTTGAAGGACACTGAAGGGAGTATCTGCACTGCGGAAGCTTCCTTGTGGCCTGTTGGAATTCTCTCTTTCTGTGGGAGAACACAGTAGGGCTTCTGCTTCTGACAGGCTGCTGTTTCGGAGGGCCTGGCTCCTGACTGAGCTGCTGCAAAGAGGCAGCCTTGGAATCCCAGCAGCACTGGCCGACTTCGCTACTGACAGCTTGTCGCTATGGGAGGCGGCTGAGCCTCGGTTTCCTTATGTACAGTATGTAATAGAAACACCTGTTCTAAAGCTTGTCAGGGAACTTTAAAACTAGTAAGTAGGTCAGGCATGGTGGTGCACATCTTTAACCTCAGCATTCTGGAAACTGAGACAGGTGGGTGTTTTGAGTTAAAGTCCAGCCTGATCTATATAGCTGGTATTAGGCTACCCAGGGCTGCCTTTAAGTGAGACTGTCTTTAAAATAACAATAATAATACATAAATAAAATTAAACTAAAGCTGCTAAAAGCTAACAGGAACCAGGAGTGGTAGCATACTTCTGTAATTCTGTGATCAGGAAGCTGAAGCAGAAGGATTATGGTGAGTTCAAGGTCAATCTGTGGCTGCATAGTGAAATGCTGTGGAGAAAAGAAAGGAGAGAGGGAAAGAGGAAATAGACTCGTGACCCCTTTACAAACAGAAATGAGCCTTAGACAGCTAGATACCCTTGCTGTGTAGCCCTAAGTTTGTGCCTAGAAACCATACAGTTCTCTCTGTCTCTGTCTCTGTCTGTCTGTCTGTCTGTCTGTCTCTCTCTCTCTCTTCCCACTCACATGCAGGAAGGAAGGATGTGATTTTCTATTACACAGTGAGTTTAGGAAAGCGAGATTAGAACAATGGGGAGACTTCTACACTTCAGGGCTTAGCCACCAAATGGGAGAGAAAGGGCTGAACTTTGAAATAGAATGAGGCTACAAAGGATTGAGTCTCTCCGGGGACTGGAAGGACAAGAGGAACTTTCTGGGAGTTACTTGGTGCTCCTGGGTTAGGGCCGCTGTGAAGTAGGGGTGGGAACACATTACCTGGGCCATAACCAGCAGTTGGCCCCTTGCTGGTGGGAGTCATCACTTCCTCCCTGCCTCTGAGCAAAGAATGGGGTGAGCCTTAGACAGGGTTAGTGTGGCGTTACTGAGCCCACACAGGGAAGCCTCCCGCCCTGTGCCAGGAAAGAAGCAAATGCCAAGAACAGCTATTATCTGAAGAAATTCAGATCCAATGAGAGTTAAAGAAAAACAGTTTTTACAAGGCAACAGAGAAAATAGACACATAAAATCTATCCAAGGCCTGTCAACAGATTATGCTGTATCCTTTCTGTTTTCAAGTTTACAGACACTTTTCTCTTCCCTTCATTGTCACCTCAACAGCATAGTGCTCTGGTTTTACGGAAACCGTGCATCTCAGCAGGGAAACCCCGTGGAAATGAAACCCTTAATGCTGTTCCCAGCTTGGAGGATTTTGGTGTAGGTGACTGGTGTGATGCTCTGCATTAATCAGATAGTTAGGGGCATCTATTCCCAGTGCCGAGGCTGGGATAGCACAGGTTTGCATGAAAGGGCAAGCCAGGAGCCTGAAAGGAAGCCCAGGTCCACTACGTTAGGTCTTTCCACCCTAGCCTCATCATGCCTTCTGAAAGAAATCCCCAGAAATAATAGCTGCCACATTCAGGGGAAGACAAAAAGTCCCAGACTCCATTTAAATGTTATTTGCTGCTTATCATCTTTGAGGTGGCCGAAGCTGTTCTCAACATCAGCACCAGAAAGTAAGAGCTGACTCTGCTTGTGATGGTTTATTTTGATCGCCAACTTGACACATCCCAGAAGCACGCAGGGCAGAAAGTATCAGCGAGGGATTATCTAGCTCTGGTTGGCCTGTGGGCATCATGGATCATCTCCATTACATTAACTGATGTGAGATGGTGACCCGGCCTAGAGAAGGGGGCAGCGCCCTTGCCTGGATTGGCTCCTGGGGTGTCTGAAAGGGAGATGAGCTCAGTGTGAGCTTGAGCGCACTCTCTTTGCTATTGACTGTGGATGTGACTGGATGTTTCAAGTCCCTGCCTTGACTTCCCCACAATGATGGATTGTAACCTGGCATCAAAAGTAGAATGAACCTTTTCTATCTTGAAGTTGCTTTTGTCAGGACATTTGATCACCACAAAAGAGATGAAAGTGCGAAGCTGCTTAAATGGGGGATATTTGGAAAGCAGCCCAGCTGTTCCTAAGATCTGATCCAGGCCATCCAAGGATAGCGGAGCAGTTTGCTTTCTCACTAGAGGCGTGGCTGCAATCACACTTCAGTAGTGAATGATGCTGATGGGAGGGAGGGCTAGACCATACCATAGCTTACGAAACTTGTTGTGCATAGGACCCAGCACAGTGGCTAGACCAAAAAGTATTCCACATAAACAGATACATTTCAAATTTCCCAAAAGAGCAGCTTTGTGAGCCCACATGATGACTCAGTGGGTAAGACACTTCCTGTGTAACCCGGACAACATGAGCTTGATGCCTTTGTAAGGACGAGGGCGAGAAGTCACCCCACAAATCGTCCTCTGTCTTCCACATGTGTGCTGTGGCATGCATGTACCCCCACACACATCATTTACACACCCAATAGCAATAATATACTAAATTTAAAAAACAGCTTTCCATGCAGCGCAAACATCAACTAGCCGGAAACAGCTGTGTACAATAGGCAAACACACATGACTAACGCACAGATCGAGAATCTGCTGCATGGACCACCCTGTACTAGAGAAACCCTCATCCTAAAGTTCAGTCTGATGGGAAAGAAACCAGATCTATAACCTCATCAGCTGGGCATGCCCAATGCCATCTCAGGGAACAACCCCAGCTTTGGTCAGGGTTCTTGCTTGTATACAGTGCAATCCACCCTAGCTCATTTAAACTGAAGGGATTAATTGGGGTTTATAAATATCTCAGAAAATCACTGGGAAGAAACAGTCTCTTGCCTGAGCTTCCACAACCCTGCCAAAATAGGCTGCCAAAGACATGCTGTCTCTGCCACAGACAGGAGCCTCTGAATCAGGAAGCCATCCCGCCACTGCTGGCTCCCTTGCCTGGTCACATCTGCCATCATGCAAGCCAGCAGAAGGAATGGCCCATGTCCTGCTTCTTTTCCCATGAAACTTATATCCAGATCCAATGAAACTTATATCCAAATCCAAGTCACTCATGAGTGTATCTGGCTGGAAAGCCAGAAATCACTATCAGCACCCCCACACAGGGGTGGGGGAGGCAGGAGTTCTTCATGGGAACTTGAGGTGCTTAGCGTGGGGAGCGGTCACAATGTGGAGAAACTTCTAAAAAAACCAAAACCTGAAATCTTGGAGTTAGGAAGGACCACCGTCCCCTTAGTGGCTAAAAAAACAACTGTGTCAAGTGGGACTAATGTGACTGAAATACATGCTTCAGGTATGACGGAGGCATGGCATTAATTGATCTTCACTTGACCTTGGCTGAATAGGGGCTGGTTGGGCAAAAGGTTGCAGGGAGAAAACATTCAAATAAAGTTAGGAACCCACAGGTTTCCTGTCATACAGAGAGGACGTAATTGCAAACTAGAACCCATGCTTTATCTTGATGGGGCCCATAGTTTGGGGAGAAAAGCTATAGAATTTGCCCGAAGGCTAATGATAGTTAACATGGAACCTCAGTTGCCATGCCTTGGGCAAGGGCTGCTCCCAGGCCCGTGTGTGTGTGTGTGTGTGTGTGTGTGTGTGTGTGTGTGTGTGTGTGTGTGTGTGTGTGATGGGCTTGCTCATCAGCCTGGAGCACTGTTGGGAGCTGGTGGGACCTTAAGAGGTGAGGCTTACTGAAGGTTAGGCGACTTGGGCTTTGAAGGGCAGTTTCCTGTTACGAGTTCCTGCCATGACATGCCACCCTATCACAAATCCAAAAGCAACAAGCTAACCTGCTATGCATTGGAATGTCTGAAACTGTTGGCCAAAACCACTCTTTTGGATATTTGTTCCAATATCAGACATCTGACTAGCACTGGAATGAGGAGGTAACAGCAATGGCTTCATTTACTGCCTTAATGTCTTCTGTCCTTACAAGTCTTCTGCCTCATCCCAGATGTCGTTAGTAGGCAAACACATTTGCTGGCCCGTGGCTTCTGAGTTGGCAATGAAGCACAACCTGGCCCAAACAGAGACCACGGCAGCTGCCAACACGTGATCCTCTCTTGGGACTGAGCCAGGACATGTGAGAAGATGTATAAACTGCATAGAGTTCATCTGCACGTCAGAGTCAGGAGCTAAGAGATCTCAAGCTGTGGGTGAACAGACACAAAATCAAGGGTGTGACAGGAACTGTGCCCTGCTAAAGGATGTGGAACCTCCTGAAAAGGCAGGGACAACAGAGGCCAGGCAGAATGGGTGGAGTGTTTGCCAATGATAAAGGGGGAACCATCAATTCTTGCTAAAGAGAGCAGGGAGGGACAATCCAAGCACTGCAGCCTTCCATTTCCTGGATTCTGTTGTGGGCTCTGTGGCTCCTGGGAGTTCTGATTCTTCCATTCCAATCTTCAAGGTTCCCCCAAGCACCAACAAGGGAACATCACAGTGTCTGTCTTTGACTCTTTCGCTAAAGAATGGGAATCTGAAAGGTCTAGAATCCACCCAATCACCCACCATGGAAGGAGGAATTATTTTTTTTCTTTAATGAAAAAGAAAAGAGTTAAATATTGGTTGATTATAATTTAAATTTACATTTTTAGTACCTATGTATTTATCTTAGCAAGATGCCATATTGTGTCTACTGACTAGTCGATGTGGCTATAAAAATGTCGGTAACCATGAGTAATATCTTGCATGCTATTATTCTGCCCTCCTACTCCAATACCCCTTGATACCCACACCCACTTCTGCTCCTAGAAATGAAGCCCGTGTGTATGAGTGAGCTAAGGCCATCAGGAACACAGGCGACAAGAATGGATGTTTTTATCATTTTGAAGGAAGCCTAGTTTACATTCAGAACAGCACAGTCTTCCTCCCTCGCCCTCAGGGATCAGTGAGCGATAACCACATCCCTGGACCTCTTAAGAGCGTATTGACCGATACCGTTTCAAATCAAAGGCTGTTTAAAGGCAAGTTTGCTTCTGTGTGAAGTTGTATTGAGAAAGAACGGCTGAAGATGCCCTCCTAAGCAGGGAGGCTGGATCCCATTACTGGAGCTTCTTTCTCAGAAAGCTGGTTTCTATCCCTCTGCCCTTCTGTTTCTAATCCCCACCCCCACCCCCCACATACACACACACATCTCGGATTCCTGTTCCAAGAAGGGAAGGGTAGCAGGTCCAGATGTAGGGGAGCCTGTTCCCAAGGGGAGTCAGCAGTAGAGGGGCCAGATTAAGCAAGGCATTAGAGAGCATGAAGTCACGACTACAGCTATAGCGGGGGAGTTTGTACACTCAGTCACTCATTCATTCATTCATTCATTCATTCATCCATCCATCATTCTTTTGGTCATTCAGCAAAGATTTATTGGGAGTAGGGATATGAGACTAAAAGATTGAGTCCCTACTCTTGTGTCACGTGGCACAGAGCCATCTGGGTGGTACCCTCAAGCGGCACGGAGGTGCTTAGGAAGAGTCTAACCATCTCTAATGTGCCAGTGGATCATGTTGGAGGAGTAGGGGAGCTGGCTCCTGTGTAAGGTGCAGCTCTGCCTGCGAGGAGCTGGTTAGAAGAGACCTAGTCTAGGACAGGCAGTGAGGACCCCGGCAGAATATTAATTTGGTCAGCTGGTCACCATTATAGACATCTTCTACTGCTCCTCTAAGTTATTACCTAATAAGACACTTATTGAGTACTTACTGTATGCTAGACATTATGTCAATTGCCCTTCTTGATTTTCCTCATTACAAAGAGCCTGCAGGAGCAGATATTTCACAGGTGACAGACATCAAACCACAGGGTGGGGTGGGATGAAGTGACAAGTCAGGGATATCACAGAGAAATGTAAGGGCAGGGACCAGCTACTCCCCCAACCTCCAGTACTCCTGTCTCTGTCTGGGTGAGGTACATGGACCCCCTGAAATTCAGCACAGTTGGTTCTGACCCTAAATGTACTGCAGCAGCAGCAGCAACAGCTACAGTGGGCATAACAGGAAGGATGAACTCAGCAATGCTGGTGTCTGTACAATGTCAAGGGACTTGGATCCTGAGGCCTTGCCTCCTACCTACAGTCATCGGAAGGTACTGTGGATGTCCCTGCACAGACTCCTGTTCAGTAGCTAATGAAGGTAATCCCGGGGTCTCAGCACTGAGAGGTTGCCTTTCAGCAAATACAATGCCGAATAGGATGCTGCAGTTGTCCAAGGAGGCTGGGGAAAGGTGGATCTTGCTGAATTGAGCACGGTCAAGGGGTGGGAAATTAAAGAGCCCATTGTTGCTGATACCACAGAGGAATAACTGGTACAGGAAGTCAAAAGAAAAATTGGATGCCTGTCTTTGGACAAGGGAAATGAGGCCAAGAGCGTCTTTACAATGCTGTTGGCTTTACGCCAGCAATGCCCTGCTCACCAAGCCTTTGTTCTGATGCTCTGTCTACTGGGGGCATTTGCCTGAAGCCCACCGAGACCATACAGGCTCATTTGAACAACAGTTAACATTGTTGTGAGACTTTGTCTTTGAACTGGAGACTGTGGGCGCATTTATCCTTGGGATGCTGCTTTAGGTCTGGTTCTCTCTCCTGTCAGGCCTCTCCTGCCTGCTTGGCCCTTCGTGCCGCCAGTGTGTTCATGGGGTCTCATTGCGTTACCACTGGTGGGATGCTGGAGGAGCCATGAACCACTCTCAGAGCCTCTGCTCTGCTCTAACATGCTGTCAACTGATTTTAAAAGTCAGCACTGTTTTGCAGTGCTCAGACTTGAACTCAGAGCCTTGCGGGTGCTGAGCAAGTACCACTCATGCCTGGAGCTACCGATTTTCCCCAGCCCCCATCTCCATGTCTGACGAGCAGATGCTGCTGGCTGAAGACAAGACTTTGAAAACTACTGGTCAACTATCCCCAGGACAGTGACTGAGAGTCTGAGTTTGTCCGGCCCCCATCTGTCTGGATCAGGATAACGACCTCGTCCTTTCTCCCCTTTCTCCCCCAACCACATGTCTCATCAAACTCAATGAACCAGTCTATAGTTCAGTGCACCCTAGAAGATTCCCAGGCTTCAGATGACAGCCTTGGTGGGGACAGCTCCTGCTGGGGATAACCCTGGCGGGACCCCATCTGAGCCAAGAGGACCAGGACACAAGGTGCCTGGTTTATAGTTCTGCATCAGCCACGATCCCCAGGATGGTACACTTGTCCTGGGCAGGTAGTACCAGAAGTCACCTGAACGAGTTCAGCAATAAGACCCCAAGGTTCCCTGGAGCTTTGTGGGGCCACGGACCTCCTGTGCATGTCTGGGTGCTTCAGGCATGCTGCCCTCGAGGGGATGCTTCTCACTGCCAGAGAGAGAGAGAGAGAGAGAGAGAGAGAGAGAGAGAGAGAGAGAGAGAGAGAGAGAGAGAGAGAGAGAGAGAGAGAGAGAGAGAGAATCTCTCTCACAGTCACTTCCTGGAAACTTTAGGAACTGGGGCTTCTTGATGGATGTATACCTCTCTGAAATGCAGGTTAAGAAAGTCACTTCCTGTTTATCGAATTTTCTAAAGCAATCCTTCAGCACTAAGTTTTCTCAATAAGCTCATTAGTCTGCTGCACACATCGAATCTAGAGCAAAGGATTCCGGGGTAGGGAGGAGGAAGACGGGAGGAAAGGTTCCTCTCCATGTCACATTTCGAAAGAATTACACAATTATCTGTGCCAAGGACACCACGAGATACACAGAACACTGTGGTAATCATAGTTATCTGAGGAGGTAGGACTTGGTGCCGTTTCTATTCATTCTTTGCTCCTGTAGTTTGTGGTCAGAAACACGCAACCACATCCTTATCAACCCCAGCTCCCACGGCCTTCAGGAGCACGGGTGTGCGTGGGAACGGTGAGTGGCTCAAATGGAAGGGATCCGTGGGCCAGGACAGAAGAGTCTAAGGAAATGGGATGTGGTGTGATCCGTGGATCTGTGGCTCTGACCAGAGACGATACAAGTTAAAACACTATTTCACAAATCGGAACCAGTCTTTCACGGAAGAAAGATTAAAAAGAGAAAGGTCCCAAGTCGCAGTTTAGGGGAGTCAGGGTTTCCCCAGGGGCAGGCTTATCCTGTATCCAGGTCCGGGGCTCACCCACAAGGTGCTCACCTCTGTTGCTCACGGGAACAATAAGGTCTGGTCTTCATGACTGCTGAACCAAGCTGCGCCTGGCGTCACACCCTGGAGAGCACCTGGGTCTTCCCTTCCCTCTCTGCCTTTCCTTCCTTCCTCCTGTGCCATTACCAGAGTCCCTACGGCCCCACCTCCCTCTGCTCGCACTGAAAGCTCTGCCATGTCCAGGGAGCCACTCCTCCCTGGTTCTTCCCAGACCCCTCGCCTGACTCTCCAGCCTTTGCCCTACATCCCATGCAGCTGGCAGAGGGTGTCGGGCACAGCGGGCTGGGGTCAGGTTCCACAGTGCACTTGTCTGACCAGCCTTTGGAGGGACCTCTCGTAGATTCGTACACAAACTAGAAAGAACCCGCTAAGAATGAAGTGACCGCACATTGAAACCGGGTTCTTATTTGCTGCCCTTGGGCCGAGATGTTGAAGTGACCTTGTGTGGCACCAAGCAGGCACACGTGACCCTGCTATGTGGAACTCCTGTGAAAGTTGACGTGGCATTGCCAGATGGCAATTTGCCAGTGGTGGAAAGAGTTTTCTGGCTACATCTTAACGCTGGAGCTAGCAATTGCACTTTGACTAATGAGTTGTAAGGAAAGAGAGGTGCGCACATGGGGTATTTTATGCAAAAGTGTTCATCAAGGTATTATTTACAGTAACTGCTTATTTTGTTCTGTCGAGAGAGGGTCTCCCTTTGTAATTCAGGTTGGCCTCAGAGCTTGAGACTGTAAGAATAAAGGACAGAGGAGTGTTTAACAGAGGGTACAGGCTTATTTTGGGATAAAGTTGAGAAGGACTCTCTCTCATCAAGAGAAGGCAAGAGCAAACCTCTCACATTGGCTAGGGTTTCTGTAGGACTTGGAGCTGTTTTCTGGGTGGGGCAGGAATGGTGTATGCTGCTTTGACTTCAGGAAGCTGAAAATGTTAGTAGCCAGACAGAGGAAGCGGTTCAGGCTGGAATGAGGCTGTTTTTGGGATAAGGTGGCCCTGCTCTTGTTCTTGAGGGCCTTTGGGGTGTCAGGGTTCCAAGCATGGGTTGCCTCAGCCAGCTGTGTATTAGTTAGAAACAGCAACGGAGGCTGATGCAGAATGCAGATGTTAGAGGCAACGGAACACCATGGAGCAGCTATGCATATTCTAGAAGTATAGGTGACCTGGGGAATTGTCTGGACTTTATTGTGAATCAAAATGCTGACAACTACTTCCATCCTGCTGCAAGCGTGGCCCTGTCCTGGACAACTGTTCATCATTATCAGCTTCCGTGTGGGGATTGTGACACTGCTCTACTCCCAGTACTCTGTTCTGTGCTCTAGAAAACAAGGCAAAATCAGCATTCCTCAACGCAGATCTTTTTAAATTGCAGTAAAAGAGAACTCAAACCAAAAAGGCTTAAGAATCAAAGGCATTTGACTGGCTAATAACCCAAAGGCCAGGCTGGCTGCTGTTGAGAAGCCATCTGGCAGGGGTTGCTTTGTCACCAAGGACTTGAGTTCCTTCTGGGGAGAAAGAGAGAGATTCAGCGTCCCCACACTTTTCCTTAAGAGCAGACCCTGAGCATTAAATGGTAGCAACAATCCGTTGAAGGGCAGGAGGACCACTGGAGCGCCCACTTTCTCCCCCCCCTTTGGTGGACCTGCACAAAAGGCTCCCCTGCCCTCCAGCGAACTGGTGGCCCAGTTAGACTCTCCTCACTTTACGGCTGCCGTAACTCTGTCATTCTCCAAGAAGAGCAGATGGCAAGGGTGGGTACCTTTTGCGCACACTCTGAGATGAACGCTCTCTTACAACCAAAGGCTTTCACGTGACTATCCCTGGACCATTCAGTTAGACCAAAGGAGGAGGATGCCCAAATTGGCTAGAGCTGGGGAGCCTTAGGAGTTATCACAGGACAAAAGGGCTACCAGCCACATAATACGAAAGATAAAGGACAACAGACAAATAAATACAAATAAGTATTCAAAGTTCTTCCTCTGACCATTGTTATGCTAATGAACACACAGTAAGCTGCCAAGAAAGAGATGGGGAGAGAAAAAAACCTTAATTTTCAGTATTTCATACAGGGCACACTTTGAAAAACCTGTACTAAGGATGATAGGAGACGTGTAAGCAAAGGGACCATCTGCCCCAATCTTTCTAGAACAGCCACAGTTTATCTGTTTCTCAAGTCTACCCATTCATCCCCTCTTTTAAATATCTCTAATTTAAATGACAAATTATCTGGTCATTTCCAGTGACCTGGATGAAGGGCTCCGTGTTGATTATTTAGTTGTGGACCCAATCAAATCTTCTCTTGGAGGATCATGAATTTGAGACTTAGGAAAACAAGAACATGGACAATTGAAACAGAGGAGCTGGAATGCTGTGACTCAAAGAGAAGGATGAGTTAGACCGGAAGCCACATGGGAGTGCTTCCCATGAATAGGGAGGGAGGTCATCCAACATCCTATGTACCTCACTTCCTGCTGTGAATTCAGCTTCTGGGATACCCATCCCTGTCTACTTACTGCTTAGGATACCGCTCAGTCTTGGCTCCCAGAGCTCACCCAAACATCTGCGTTGCCTAAGACAGCCTTTCTCAGTGTGGCTCTCAATTCTGGTTGCATGTGAGCATCACCATTGCATGTTCTAAGACACACAGAGCATTTCCATCTCCTGCTGCCTCAGATCTTTGGGTTGTTTTTTTTTTGTGATTCTGTAATGGTTAGTATCGATTGTCTACTTGACAGGCCCTAGCATCATCCAGGAGGCAAAGCCCTGGGAATGTCTGTGAGACCCACCCTACAGCCTACTCCATGGACTGAGGTCCTGTACGGAATAAAGAAGAGAAATCGAGCCGGGCACCAACATTCATCTCTTTCCGGCTCCTAATCACAATGAGATTAACCACTTCATACTCCCACTGAAATGCCTGCCCCCATTTCAGACTGTGCCCTTAAATTGTGCACCAGAACAAGCCTTTCTTTTCTTAAGTTACTTTTATTGCTCCATAACAATAAGAAATGTAGCTCATCCAGACGTGGTTCCCTTAGTCCAGTTGACCTTGAACTCACTATCTGTCTGAGCATGACCTTGAGTTCCTAATCCTTCTGCCTCATAAGTTGTGCTACCATGCTCCCTTGCCCCAAAATTTCTATTTACAAGAAAAAATTATTTTAAGATGGTAGCTTTAAGATGATGAGATGAAACATGTTTTCACATAGTCTCCTTCTGTTTTTGCCAAATTTTCTAAAATACCTGCAATGATAGTTTGTAATATGAAAGACATAGCCACAAACAAGGAAACAGAAGTAAGTCCTTTGGTGATGTCCGTGGCTGATGCTAGCATGGTCACCTGTGCTGGGTCACGGTGCTTCCCAGGTAAGGTGCGTGCCTATGGTGAGAGGGCTGACTCTATTGTCGGATACAAGTGAGCCAGTCATGAGGGCATGAGAACAGGAGAGCTGCCCTTCTCCCATCTGCTGGGTGGTGGCACCAGTGAGGGAAAGATACCCTCCCCGCTCTGCTCCTTGCTACCTGTGGCAGGCCAGAGAGCTGGCTCCTGGATCACGGGAAAGAACGAGTCCTGCAACCCACCAACTGCAGCACACAGGAGAGCAAGCCCTGCACCGGGCCTGGGCAGCACACCGGGCCATTGGGACCTAGTGTGTCACAGGTGAGCAGGTGAGCCAGCCCTGAGGGTGTAAGAGCAGGAGAGTTGATTTGCACCCTTTGCATGGCCCCTACAGCAACCTGGAGAAAAGACCCTACGCCTCTCCTGGGCAAAACAGTAGAGCTGCCCTGAATGAGTGAGGGGAACCCGGGCCTGAGGGTCCTGCTCCGTACTGTGGGCTGTATTGGGTGAGCCAGATGAGGCAGTGCTGGAGAGCTCATCCAGGTAGTAACGATGAGGGAAACTGGCAAGCTACCAACCTAGCTACCACCCTGATGGGGGATGTCCTTCTGTATATATGTTTCTCTTATTGGTTGATGAATAAAACGCTGTTTGGCCAATAGAGGTGGGAAGATAGGTGTGGCTAGGAGATGAGGAGAATCCTGGGAAAGGTAGGCAGAGAGGCCATGAAGAGATGCCACACAGAGACCGGGAGGATAGGATACACCAGGTTTTTTCTGGTAGAATAAGGCTATGTAGAAATACAGAGATTAGTAGTTATGGGTTAATAATTAAGGCAGAGCTAGTCAATAAGGAGCCTTAGCCATTGACCAACAGTTTGTAAATTATTATAAGTCTCTGTGTGTTTATTTGGGGCTAAAGCAGCTGTGGGACCATGTGGGACAAGACACATTTCAATACGACCCAGGCCCAGAACCAGGACTATGACTTAGCCCACCCCAACATTCACTGAATCTATGAACTGTTAGAACATGTGAAGGGGACAAACCTGCAGATCGAAAACGTCAGGATCTCTATGACACAGGACAACAGGATATCCAAGAGGAGCCCCAGTGAGAACCCATTACCGGTGGTATAGTAGAAGTCAGAGGCCTCGAGCCAGACTCCGGGTAATGCACACTTGCAAGTCAGGATGAACAGATGAAGGGTAAACTGTGCGTCTCAGTGGGTCACGCCATAGCTTCCACAACAAGAGTCTTCTTTTTGTTTTGTTTTCGTTTTGTTTGGTTTGGTTTTTGGTTTTTCTCTTAAATGTGGTTTTGTTTTGGTGGGGAGGTTAGCAAGGGCAAAGGGTAGATTTGAGGGGACAGGGTGATGAGTGGGATTGGAATGCATGATGTAAAATCCACAAAGAATTAGTAAAAGTAAAAAAAAAAGGAAAAATGAAATGAGTCTTCATGTTTCTGGTGAGTTGTCAACAATGACAAGCTGATTCAGTGGAAAAAAATAATTGCCCAGCAAATATGTTGACGTGATTACACACACAAGGAAGAGAATGAAGTTAGATCCCTAACTCCCACCATACACAAAATCAATTCAAAAAGGAGCACGGACCTACAGGTAAGTTACCCTTATAGAATTCTCAGAAGAAAACTTGAGTGTTACTCTTCATGAGTCTTAGCTCCAAATGCTTTCTTAGGTGTGATAGCAGATGAACAAGAGAAAGGAGAGAGATGGGAAAGAGGGAGGGGGAGAGAGGGAGGAGAGAAATGGGAAAGAGGGGGGAGAGGGAGGAGAGAGATGGGAAAGAGGTGGAGAGAGGGAGGAGAGAGATGGGAAAGAGGGGGGAGAGGGAGGAGAGAGATGGGAAAGAGGGGGAGAGAGGGAGGAGAGAGATGGAAAAGAGGGGAAGAGAGGGAGGAGAGAGATTGGAAAGAGGGGGAGAGAGGGAGAAGCGAGGGAGGGGAAAGAGGGAGGGGGAGTGAGGGAGGGGGAGAGAGGGAGGAGTGAGGAAGGGGGAGAGAGGGAGGAGTGAGGGAGGGGAAAGAGGGAGGGGGAGAGAGGGAGGAGTGAGGGAGGGGGAGAGAGGGAGGAGTGAGGGAGGCAGAAATTATATATGTGTGTATTGGAGTCAAACTAAATCAAAACCTTTAGTTTACTGTGCTTCAAAAGACATGGTTTATAAAAGTGAAAAGCGCACTCACAGAATGGGAAAAATATTTTCAAGTCTATGCCTGATAAAGAACTTGTTTCCAGAAGACATAAACGTTAGGCCATAGCAGAGGGTGTCACGGGGCGAGACAGATTGAGCAAGGCAAGGAATATCTTTGATTTCAAAGCCACTCTTTTGATAATCCATTGATTCTTTAATCCATTAATGAATTAATCCATTCATGAGAGCTGTCTGGAACTCACTATATAGACCAAGCTGGCCTCAGACTGATGGCAATCCCCCTGCCCCTGCTTTCCAAGTCCTGAGACTGTGTTGCCCCATAAGCGGTTCCTAACGGCCTCTTAAAAGCCCAACTGAGTCCCGCCTCTTAATACTTCACTATATAAATTTCAGCATGAGCTTTGATATGGACATTGAAGCCATAGCAACAGTCAGGTATGTAGAGACAAGCAGTTGCTGAGAATACCGGCTAGAGAGCATAGCTGCTGGGGGCGTGGCATCCATGCTGAGGGGCGTGGTATTCCTGTCGAGGGGTGTGGCAACCCTGCTGAGTCCGATGGTGATGTTCTAAGATTCAACTGTGGTGATGCTGGGAAGTCTTATGGAAGACACTTGGGCCCTGTGCTTCTAGGAGTGAGCTTTTGGGTGTGATTAAGAACAAAGCGGCATGCAGAATCACGTGGGAGGAAAACGAGGGCCTGCTTAGCCCTTCTGGGATAAGGGGACGTGAGAAGCACTGGAATGATAAAAGTAAGTCCTACCTCCTCTGGCACAGCCTGCTCACTGATCCACCAAACTGAATTCTTTTGTTATCATAAAGTTCTAGATCTTTTCTTATCCAAAATTAGCTGGGGGTGGTGGTGGAAGGGGGTTAGTAATTCTCCTAGCCCATCTGTCCTTATTATTTAGAATATATTTTAGGATAGTTTTCATCACTCCTGGCCTTTTGGTTATGATCCAGTATAGAATATATTTTTTTCTGTAAATTTAGATTTACAGAAAAATTATAATAGCAGAGTCCTCATATACCATAATATACCCCGTGCTTGCTATTAGTAATAACCTCCACTAGTACAGTACATTTGTCACAACTAATGACCCCAAAATGATGCAAATGCATAATGATTAACAAAAATCCATGCTTTGTTCAGATTTCCTTCGTTGTTGTCTTTTAAATCTAATGTGTTTTTCCACTACAGGATCCTATGCAAGACACCATATTATATTCAGTTTTGTTGTATGTAAACTCCCCTAAGCTGTGCTAGATTCTCAGACTTTCCTTGTTTCCAGTGACCTTGGCCATTTTAAGACATAGTAGCTGATATTTCATATATCTCTGTGCCTAGGCGAACCTCATGGGCCTCTCAACATTAGACCAGAGTTATGCAAATGTTGGACGAAAAATCATAAAGGTAAGTGCCACTTTTGTTACATGTCAAGGGCGCATTCTAGCAAAAATCACTTGTCACCGTGGATGGTGACCTTGACTGCTGGACAGAGATGGGATTGGGTTTCTTTATTTGTGAAGCTACTGGGTTTGTTTGTTTGTTTCTCCTCTTTTCCATATTTGACTCAGGAAGAATGTCTGCATGGACAGCCCACAGTTAAAGAGTGGGGAGGCAAGTTGCAATGTCACAGCTAGAATTTAGATCTAGAATATTCTCGAAAGACCCATGGGTAAAGGCCTGCTATGGGGAGGTGGTAGGAACCTTAGGAGGATGGGAAATATGAGAGGTTTTTAGGTCATCAGGGTGTGGCCTTGAATGGGACCGTGGGACCCCCAGATCCTGTCCTTTCTCCTTGGTTTTGTGGTTCATGGGATGAGTGGTCAGGCCTTTCCACCTTGCTGTCATGGTGCCCTGACCACATGCCCAAAGCCTGCAAGCCAAGAATAACCCTTTCTCTTACGATAATTGCCTCAGTAAAGCCAACTGACAGAACTCATTTCCTTGAAGGAGGAATCCTTACAATTATCTGGAGTTCTTCACGGCGAAAGAGCCACCCCATCCATTATTTATGCAATTCACTTGTTTATCTCATCATGAACTCACAGATATTTGTCTTAGATGTCCAGTTCTAAGCTAATTCTCATGTTCATTTGTTGGTGTGTTGCTATTGAGGTGGCTTGCCTGGTCTATTTAATTACAAAAAAAAATTCAGTCTAATGTGAAGACATCTCACACATACCTATCCCTTTGGTCTAACACTTGCTAATACTTTTTTGGCATGTCTACCTATATTTTCATTTTTTTATCTCTAATCAATAACTATATTTAAGTAACCATACTAGCATGATCATGCTGTATACAAGTCACATAAAATGATTCCTAAATATCACATACAGTAAGCTACTGCTGAATTTTTCTTGACTATCAAAACGTTATTATTCATTTGTTTACTACTTATTTATTGCATTTGGGTTGCTCAAATCAAGTTTGCCCTGGATTTGCCTCACCGTGACCTCATTGTGCCATTCTGTGCGCTCCTGTCAATATCCTAAACTACAATTAGATCTAGAAGTTCATGACCTGCAAAGGTAACAGCGTTAACACGGAAGCCCGTGTCCTGACTCCGGCTTTTAATTCTGATGGATCCTTCTCTCTCCAGGAAGTGAAAGTCCTCCAGGACTCACATTCGGAAGGCGAGAGACAGAGCCCTCAATATGGACTTTAAGGCTGCCAAGAGTTCATCCCCGCCTCCCACAAGGCCGCATGGGAAAGCCAGGAGAGAGGCAACTGGGTTCTCATGTGTGTGTTTTAAGGCTTGTGATTAGTCTTTGCTAGTACCTAAAGTCTATTTTCCCCATAGCACTATTATTCTTCAACATGCCATTTTTAGCAAAATATATTCGACGTTAGGTCAGAAATGCTGATACATTTTTATTTAAAAAAAAAAACAGTTGAGGATTCAGACAGGCTGGAGATTTCGGAAGAGTCGGTGTCTTCATGTCCAGGTCCTTTCTGCTCCATTTGCACGCCCTCCTCTGCATCCTCACAGAGGGACCTGGCTGGCGTCTTAGTGTGTCCCTGCCTAGTGGGTCCCTGCCTGCGTCTGTAGCCTTCCTGCTCCTTCAGTTCTGCTGTGTTTATCCTCACAGCTCCTAGTCCTCTGCCAGTAAGTTGAACTGCTTTCTTTGATGGGATCCTGGACATAGCAAACCAAACCCCTCATCTGCCACATAAGAGAGCGTCTCAGAAGTGCTGCTTAATGCTGAGGCTGGCCAGTCACCCCAGGGCAAGCCCGGGCCATGGGGCCATGGTGACGACGTCCTAGGCATCTGCTCCCAGCTGAGACAGAGCTGCTGTGGAGGGATTTTTCTAAGTGTTTTCTTCCTAGCACCAAGACCTCTCTCTCTCTCTCTCTCTCTCTCTCTCTCTCTCTCTCTCTCTCTCTCTCTCTCTCTCTCTCTCTCTCTCTCTCTCTCTCTCTTTTACCCCCCATCCTGTCCCCTAGTCACTCTTCAACAAAAGATTCAAACTTACAGGTGGGGAATGTGCCTCAGTTGGCAGAGGGCTTAGGGAGCATGCCTGGTGGCCTGGGTTTAATTCCCAGCATCAAATAAACCAGGTGTGGTGGTAGTTAGAAGCAGGAGGTCAGTTCAAGGTCATCCTCAGGTCCATAGTAAGTTTGAGGCTAGTCTGGACTAGGCAAGACACCAACTCAAAGAAAGAAAAGAAATCTAGCCATCTTTGGGGGAATTACATTAATATAAATTCAATAAATTTAAATATACATCTTTAAAAGGAAACAAAGAATATCCTCTTTGTGTGCTCTTAAAGGCGCTGGGTGAGCACTGTCTGGGAAGCTCTGACGCCATGTCTTTCCTCTAGGGTGTCTCCATCACCATAACACAAAGGCCCGCGGGACACTGCCAAGCGTCCCCTTTGGAACATGGCATCATGCAGCCAGACATGGCACCAGAAGTCATTACCGCTTTGGGGCTGTCTAGGCAAAGAGTCACGGGCTTCAGCTGGAGTTTTATCTCAGTCAGGCAACTACCCCAGCCCCATGCTGCATGATGGCTGATGGCCACTTTGCAGATGGCCCTGCGGTGGCTGGGGCCGAGTTCCTCTGCATTCCATCCTGGCTGTGATTCCAGGAAGGTTTGGGGTTCTCAACTCAAATGAGGCGGAGAGTAGATTGAAGCTCCACCTCCCCGTCTTTAACTCTCCTGGCCACTGGCTTCCTTCCAGCCCTAGTGTCACACCCTTCTCCCTCTCAGAAACCTGGCTTGTTTGTTTGTTGGTTGGTTTTCATTCTTTCCATGCCTTCTGAATTCCCGCTTCCTCAATTTTTTTGGACATCCCTCCCACTCTCCCTCAGAAACCATGTCCCAAGTCTGTTCCTGTGATGTTTCCCAGCCTAAAAGCTTTGTCTGTTGGTGATGGCAGTATTACCAATTTCTAAACAGTGTGCCTACAGAGATGTCACCCCACAAAGGTAGCATGGAGGCTACAGGGGAGGCTAGCCAGGCCCTGAGGAACATGCTGAGTCCCCCAGCCAGCTTTGAGCGTCCTGTCTCAGGCCCTCTGGAAAGCTTTTCAAGGGGCCTGTGTAGCTTACTCAGGTTCCCTGTTCAGTGCTGACCCAGGGAGACCAGGGACTTGGAGCCGGCCCTGGCCACTGTGTCCCTGCCCTCCAGTCCCAAGGCCAAGGGTGAGCCTTCTTCAGACTCTTGACAAGTTCCCCTTACTTTTAGCCCGTGAAGGTGGAGTAAGGAGACACAGGTCCCAGGTATCGCACTTCTGGAAACTCTAAACCTGACTCTCCTGGGGCTTCTGTTTCTGCTGCCTGCAAATAGTTTTACAGTACCAGGGGACACCTGGGAATTCATTCCTCGAGAAACTGGGGCTTCGGGGTCAGTCTGCAAGAATCAGATGAGATCCATCTTCCTCCGCCAGTTCAGTTCATTTATAAAGTTGTAACTCAGGCTCGCTGGGGGAAGGCAGCCACCAGAGCAGGTCCAGCTACAGAGAAACGCACACCTTGGAATTGGGGGACGGAGACCAATGCTTTTTCTCCAAATCAATTTTGCTGAGGCATGGTGTGCCCTCCCATGCCCTGGACACCCAGGAAGCTTATGTCTTACGAAGCAGCAATTAAACACCCAGTTGATAAAAATAACCTTTTAATTTATTGACTGACAAAAGGCTTTATTTATCAAACCATTCTGGGGCTCTCCAAAGATAACATGGAGGCAAAACCCAAAAAGAAAACCAAAGCTTTAATGCAGGGTTGCAGCCTTTTGCTTCATTTCGCTGTGAATGGAGGGCGATAAAGCGCACGCTCCGCAGCAAACGCCGCGGTGTAATGTTCTTTTGTGCGTGAGGCGAATCCTGGGGTGCAGGATTTCTTACCTACAAGAAGTCTGGTGGCAGTGGCTGGCTCCCAGGCACTAATGATGTCTGTCTTTATATCTTTGGCTTGAACTCTAATTTGCTTACAGTTTAATGAACATCAGTTCTCGCTGCAAAGTGTCTAAGTACCTGGGAGATTGAACACTTAGGCAGTCAAATGCTCTCGCTCCCCGCACTAATCTTCAAGGTCTGAATTCTAAAAAGACTTCTAAAGGAGAGTGGCTCTTTCAAGCCTGGTGAGCCACTTCTGAGGAGTAACAGACCACTCAAATTAAAAGCCACGATCTGGATGGAGACTCAGGTTGTGCTACAAGAAGAGCAAAGGCTTCTCTAGCTTAGGTAATGGCGAATTCCTGGCTGCCACCACCGCTATGCTAGCTTTGTGCCTGTTTCCTTCCCTGACTTTGGTTTTCCCAACAGTCGCTCCCAACAGTTTCAATTCCCTTCTTGGAACGTTCTCTTCATCTCTGAGGATTTGGAAACAGGAGGTGATGGTGTCAACGGAGGCAAGGGAAGAGGCTTCCAGTGTGTCCCCTCTTGCTTATTTCTGAGGTCCCTTTACTTCAATGCTTTGCTGAAGATGGAGTTTCTTTCCAGCCTGATCCCACAGCTTCAATCCCAAGTGAACACACAGAAGTTTACATCAATTATAAACCGTTTGGCCTGTGGCTCAGGCTTCTTATTGGCCAGCTCTCTCTTAATTATTAAACCATTGCATTAATCAAAGTATTTACACATGGTCTTGGCTTACCCAAGAATGATCAGACCTGTTACTCTTACAGCAGCTACATGGTGTCTCCCTGGAGGCCTCTCTCTGCCTTCTCTTCCCAGAATTCTCCTAGTCTGGTAACTTTCTGCCTGGCTACTGGCCAATCAGTGTTTATTCATCAACCAATAAGAGAAATGTATATACAGAAGGACAGCCCGCATCACTTTGCCCATGGAATACAGACTGAGGTTATTTGATAGGATTATCTAGATGTATATAATTATCATCAGTGGGAGTGATACATTTCACTTACCATGACTTCTCAAAGCTCAGTTGTTGAGGTAAAGCACCGTCCATAGGAGTGACTAATGCCAATGTATGGATTCTACTACAGCAAGTCTGGGATAGGACCTGAGATGCCTTGTTTCTGGGGAACTCCCAGGTGAGACTTGTGTTGTGCTGGTCCATGGTCCACCCTTGCAGTAGTCATGAGCTAAGCCCTTTATCTGGGTGATCTAATTTAGCCTTCATTACAACCAGTGAGGTAATAAAGACGGCTGAGGTACAGAGACTCATTTACTAGGCTGCTGTGGAACAATCTTTTTGGACACTGTGGAGATTTGTCATTGGGACTGGGTTAATAAAAAGCTGAATGGCTAATAGGTAGGCAGGATTTTCAGGGCAGAGAGGATGCTGGGAAGAAGGGCAGAGAAGCCAGCCAGATGCAGAATGTGCGGGACACAAGAATGGGACAGAGGTGAAAGCCATAGGGTAGAACACAGACTAATAAGAATATGGGCCAATTTAAGTCATAAGAGCTAGTTAACAATAAGCCTAAGCTATCGGCCAAGCTCTCATCACTACTAAGAAGTCTCCATCTGGTTACTTGGGACCTGGCTGGTGGGACAGAAAAAGTCTGCCTATAGTGGGTCCCTGGGATGTGGAGAGAGAAATTGATTTTGTTATGTCTGACTTTGCTGCCTAAGCAGAGCACTGCTGTACATGCTTCCTCCTCTTTCTAACGGGTGTTTTTATTTTAATTAATTAATGTATTTATTCTATGTATCGTTTACATTCTATTCATTTCCCCCATCCATTTGCATCCACTTTCTGCTCCTGTACAGTGCCCAAATAAAGCAAAATTTAAGAGGAAAGAAAAGGAGAAAAAATAAAAAATAAAATAAGGGAAAAGCTTAAAAACCTCGTCCTGGAAACTGCAGTGTGACACAGTGACTCACACTGTGAACCCCTCTGTCCACACATCTTTACTTGCAAGTGCTCATTGCTAAGAGACATTGGTCTGGTTTGAGGCCTCTGGTTTCTACTACCCTATCGACGCTGGGTCCCCACTAGGACTCCTCTGGATATTCTGCTGGTGCCCTGTGTTGTGGAGATCCTGCAGCTTTGGTCTGCGGGTCAAGTCCCTTCACGTGTACCAGTAGATCATACATGGGGTGGATGATGGAGTGGGCCAAGTCGTAACCCTGGGATTGGGTCTGGGCAGCTGTAGGGTTGGTCTGCCAGATGTGAAATGGGGCAGCTGTCCCATGCTTACAACTCTGGGCCTGACTCACTGACACCTGCCCCAACCGGGTTAGCTCTCTCACCCCTCTGACCACAGAGCCAGCTCTCCCACCTGCCCCAGGCATTGATGGATGGGGAGGTCAACTCCCCCTTCCCATGCCACCCCAACACAGACAGACGGGAAATGTGGACATGCTCTCCCATGCTCACAGTTTTGGGGCTGGCTCACCCACACCTAAGCCAACAGGGTTGGCTCTTCTGTGCTGTCCTAGAGAGGTATAGGGCCTGCTCTTCGGAGCGTTGCTGCTGGTGGGGGTCAAAGATAGTTCTCCCACTCTTATCACCACAGGGCCAGTTCTCCGACCTGCATCATTCCCCCACCCATGCCACCACAAGACAGATGCAAAGAGGGGAGAGCTCTCCCATGCTCGCAACATCAGGGCTGGCTCGCCCACACCTGCACTAACAGGGTTGGCTCTATTGTGCTGCCCTGGCGAGGTGCAGGGCCCTAACAGGGGCTTTCCTGTGTCAGTTGCTTTTCTCGTTGGTGTAACTAAAGACCTGACCAGAAGGAGTTTAAAGAAGAAAGAAAGGTTTATTCTGGCTTACGGTTTGGGGGGAAAACATACTTTTAAATTTGGTATTTTATGTATTTGTGTGTGTGTGTGTGTGTGTGTGTGTGTGTGTGTGTGTGTGTACACATGTTCATGTGGGTATTTGTGGAGGCAGGAAGAAGGTATTGAATCACTTGCAATTGGAATTACAGGTGAGTGCTAGGAACTGAATTCTGGTCATCCACAAAGGCAGCAAGTACTCTCAGCCGCTGACCTGTTTCTCCAGCCCCCAAACATACACTCTGTGATGGAAGGGGAGGCGTGGCAGCAGGAGCAGGAGGCCGCTGGTCACATTGCGTCAACAACCAGGTAGCAGAGCGTGGGCAGAAGTGAGGCTAGGCTATAAAACCTCAAGGCTGTGCCTCTAGTGACTCCTTCGGCAA